GCAACTGAGCTATCAGTTTTTATAGAAAGCATTATTTATAATAACATAGCTATTATTGGTTACATTATTTTAGATTAAATAGTTAGTATCTAGGTTGAAGTTCGAGCATAAAGTGGTTGTGTCTGAATCCGGTTTGAGTACTACTACAGGGTGAGTTTGCTCTACCTCAACCACTGTAATTTATGGTTCTATCACTATGCCTTGAATATCAATATCCTGAAATAGAAATATGAAACTATAATAGCTGCCTTTTTTATGTGTAGCTTATGGTATTAAAATGACTTATTCGAGTTGATCTGGGGCTATCTTAAACATTTTCTAGACAAATGCCTAATATCGTTGGCCACGTCGTTGCTTAATGGTAATAAAGCATTTGTCTATTTTACATAAAAGAAGGCAAAAAGTTAACAACTTTTACACTAGGCGAAAAAGTACCACGTCCAGCACGCTTCGCCTTTATAAGAATTTATTACTGTTTTTCGATCAATGGCATTGAAAAATAAAACTTACACGAGTTATAGTCACTTCCCACAATACAATAATTTACTCAGATGTTTGCAATAACAGTACCATTATTTGACAAACCATATTTTACCGTGACGCAATTTGCATTAACAAGAGTGTGGTGTTTTTGTCGCTCTTTATAAATACTTAGGTACATTGTTTCAAACATTTAATGCAAATAGTTAACTACATCAGTATCATCTGACGAAAAGAAACTTGGACTCGCAATCTACAGACCGAAGATTAACCTACGTGGTTAAAATTGAGGTACGTGTAGTGACACTTTTTTGTAGCAATGCTGTGTTGCTATGTTACAACAACTATTTAGTCAGTAGTGACTAAATTATTTGTCAAAATAACAATAGTAACATTAAATTTTATGAGATGCGGCAGACCGATGACATCAAGTACAGACTCAATTCAATTCCATTGTAGTAGCAGTAGAGCTCCTTGTGAAAGTGTTCTTCCAGTACAAGTACTGTCACCTTACCTGTTTCTGCCGCCAAGCAGTAATGTGAGAATCTAACGATATCGTGTTTTACATATTCGTAATGTATGTATGTATTCCAGTTGTTTTGTGGAAGATATAGGATTATTGGGGATAAAAGTGGAGTCTTAATTAGATATTTATGTGTCATTTTAAATTTTAAATAAAGACGTACATTTGTAGCTGTGTAAGAATGATAGAAGAGAGATATTATTTGTCGTATGACACGATTGTCTATTAAGAAACCAACCTACTTCTATTGAATTACCAACATTCCAACCGCCTCGGATAATGATGTGATGAAAACTCATGAGCGAGTGGTCATTCGCTCATGCCTTATCCCTAAGAGACTTGGGCTACATAAATTTACCGAAAGTAGTAAGGTTTTACAAACGGCCTTATACAATTTCAATTATCTAAAGTAAGTACTAAGTACAGAGTACTAAAAAAACCGATCTCAAATATTCAAATTATTATTATTATTAGAAGTCGTGATAGTCTAATGATTGTTTGACTTACCGCCTTCCAAGCGGAGGCCGTGGGTTCGAATTTGGGCACACACCTCTGAGTTTCTCGGAATTCATGTGCGAAATTTAACTTGAAATTTAGTCTCGGCTTTTCGGTGAAGGAAAACAACGTAATGAAACCTACATGTCGAAGACGGTTCACAACTTTCGGAAAGTGTGTGAAGTTCCTAACCCACATTAGGCCAGGCTATAGCTTATATTTTCGCCTGAGAGGAGACCCGTGCCCAGAAGTGGGACGTATAATGGGTTGATGATTATGATGATTTTGATATCTAGATCAATTTTACGATTACTACCATCAAAATTGACCCAACTAGTCATTTGGGTCAATTTTAATATTTGATACTTATCACCGCGCATTGACTTACAATCATATGGACGTCGGGTCCGCGCTAAAAAGTGTCCGAACTTATAGGGCGTTAAAATCGTATACAGAGCGTCATTCACGCTTTAGTCTTCGTTTGTTCGACTGACAGCGAAGCAAGCAAAATTAGATAGTACTGCGATGACATTACAATTTAAATTCAACGTTTTAGCTTTTTCATATTCCTTGACATGTCACTACGTTTAAATAGGTTGACTTGGGACATTTTTTTCGTGATTTTTGCATTAGACCCGTCGTCCATTTATTTGTAAGTCAATGTCACCGCGTTTAAATTAAATGTGTTCATTCTTATAGCTATTATTTAAAAAAACCTTCATTTTATTACTAAAAGAAAGCGTACAAATTATATTTTAAGTTTGAATGGGCCGATGTTGCGCTTGAAGAGTAAAAAAGGGATTTCATCCAAAAACGGAGTTAAGAGGTTTTCAAATTATGCCTACATTCTATCATTATACATCGACTACAAATAGTAACTTTTGTTTCACAAATAAATTAATTACGGATTACATTACATTTCTTTTACTAATAAACACGTCATTTTAAAAGCTACAGCGTGTATTTGACGGGCCATACAAAATTAGGTTCTTAATATTCTTTTGTGCTATTAGGTACTGTCCTATTGTGCCAGGGAAATTAATTAAAGTTTTGTCCAAGTTTTTTGTTTTCCTTTTTTTGCTATTCTTAAGAAAATTGTGTGCGATAAGTTGTTGAGTTGACGTTATTAGGCTCACATTTGTTCTCCTTTTACTTATAAACCTAAGCGATCAATTTAAATAACCTTTAGTCCAAATCACTTACCATAATTTTATTGCTTTTGTTGTGACAATTTTTCTTAGGTGCTAGTAATATTAATACGGGTAAATAGTAGTAATAAGTACTAGCCCATTGCTCACAATCAATGGTCATTGTCAATTTTCAACGCGTATGCAACAACATTAGCAGCTACTTACTGCTGCTGCTAATCGCGCGTAACAATCGAGAATATTCATACACATGCTGTAATTAACATTGTCATAATATGACAATGTTAATTATGTGAAACTACGTAGACGGCAACAGTGAACATAGCGAAATTAATTTACTGATTTCTCTGTAACGAGAAATGGTTTTCTTACCCTCCGCATTTCGTGAGCAGGAGCAGTTGCTGATTGTGGTTTAATATCAAACACCCGGAAAAACACGAGTAACTTATGAAATAAGATTGAATTCTTTTGAAATTAAATATTTTTTAAATGAATATTAGACAACACCACATACGTATACGTTGGTTTGATCGCAAAGTAAGTAATTAAAGCACTTGTGTTATGGAAATCGGAAACAATGACGTAACCACAAACACCCAGACCCGGGAAAATATAGAAAAATTTTTCCACATTGACCCGGCCGGAGAACGAACCCGGGACCTCAGAGATGACGACACCATAAAAACCGGTGTGCAAGCCATTCAACCACAGTGGTCGTCGTCATTGTTATTAGCAATTTTTTTTTACAAATTACTATTTTCGATTTCTTAGGTTTTCGCGATTGTTACACATTATACTATTTATTCAGTATGGAACCTGTAAAGGGCCCGAAATGTTGGTTTGTTTGAAAAAACAAATATACGTGATTTAAATCGGAAACAATAGTTATATTTTATAAATTATGCGTTTTCAAAACACTGTCTTTATAAAGTAACTGATAAATATGTGGGTGTACAAAAGCGGTTTAAGAGCTAATGAATTCTATGGAACTTAATGCAATTTTGTGATTATTGACTACCAAGCGAGTGATTGGCGCCCGTAGTAGGTTTGAAAAACCTGTGTGTTACGGGTTGCCAGATTCCCACCGAATACCGAATATAGAATCACTATTCGGCCCAGTACAGAAAGTTACATGATTTAGCGTGTTTTTTTTGTTCTTAGAAGAAAAAAAAAACATTAAATTATTATGGAAGTAACTTTTATTGATGCTGAACATACATTGTACTTTAGAGAAAGAGCAATTTTTCACTTCTTTATCTAAAAGATCTCTTTTATTTCTATATGAGATCGAAGAAATAGGGAATATATCAAATGAAAACTGTACTAAGTACATAATAATGTTGTTTACCCAAGACTAAATAAATGCTAACAAAATCAACCAAGCACTTATTATTTGCAAAATAAAATAAAGTTTAGTTTATGAAAGTTAATCAAACAAAAGTGTAAATTTAAATTATTAACGTGAAATACAAGTACATTTTTTTTATTATACAAAAATGTGATTTTCGTACGTGCGTTAGTTAGGGCCCTCTACGTCATCACGTTTTATTATCGTTGGACAACTGTCGTGTCTAGCCTTTTCCCATATCACGACTATCTGTCGTGAACGATTTTTTATCGTTGAACGACTGTCGTGACTAGGTGTTCCCACTAGATCGTGACGACAATTTATCGTTTCACGACAGCCTCCTTGTCGTTTGCACGACAGAATCGTTTGATACACTGCTGTCGCTTGTATGTTCTTTTAGAAGCCGGTAGTGTGTGCTCGCTCGAAATGGATGAAGACGAAATTTTAATAATGTATTACTTTTTAAAAATGTGGAAGAGGAAGCAAACAAAGAAAAGAAAGTTTTGGGTACATCCAATGATACTAAAAAGGATTCCATTAGTTATGTCAAACGGTATAAGAAGTAGCTTTCTTTTCGGTATTGTCAAAACCTGCTACGACCAGAGATTGGCAGTGGGTTAAAACCTAACCAACCCGCCCGTGTTTTCACCAGAGTTTTACCCGAAGCGCCGAATTTTAACCCACTTCTGCCCAAAATCGTGGGCAGAAACGAAGAGTACAGAATTTGCTATAATTCCATCACTAACAACATAATATCCCTTAACCAGGTGACGAGGGTTTTTTCAAGTACAGTTTATGAAATTCAGGATTTTGTATATATATGACAGAAGCAATAAAACCAATATTTTTATTTAAATATTTATTTATTATTATTATTTAAAAATCCCTGTGGTCCCTATAAGTACCTAGTCCAATGCGGTAAAAACAATGCGGTCTCTATATGGTACCTTGCCCTGAACCAGGGTTCATATAATCAAAATTATTATTTTCTTTGGAAACTATTTTCTTACAAATTATGAGGCACATAGGGCAAATGAAATTTTGCAAAACATGGAGCAATGCACAGTGGCACTTTGCATAAATTGCACTCTATTTTAGAGCGTTTAGGATTGGTTCGAGTGCTGCAGAAACGGCACCGCCGCTTAGTTCCTGCAGTAGGCATGTGAACACCAACATTGGCCAATCGCACCTCATCATTAATTCCATACACACCTCCTTTCTTATTTTTCAATATAGTTGAACTTGCTTTGCGGGAACTAAAGTTGTTAACAAGACCTCTTGCAACACGCAATCGGAACTCACGATGACTATTGTTTCGTTTGACATGTCCCTGGCTGTAGAGAATGTAAGCATTTATAAGGGCAGCTTCTAAAAGGAACCAAAACAAACGGAACCAGTTCTTTTTTGATTTGCGACCTATAGAGTAGGAGCTCCTGAAATGGTCAAAACGGTCTACACCACCCATGTTTTTTGTATATTCTACTATGGGTAGAGGACAAAACATAGCCTTTTTTGAACCATCTTTCTGTTTGCGTTGTATAATCTGCACCTTTTTTGGATGAAATGCAGTAGTGGCAACGAACACATCCTTGGAGTCCATCCATTTGACCACTGATACAGGAGCAGCATGCTGAAACATGAATTCACCTGGTTTTAGGCTCATTGGGTCTCTTCTTCCCCTTTTAGAAGTTATTTCAGGCGGAAGACCTTTTCTATGGACTCTCACAGTCCCCACAGCATATATATTTCTGTGATGGAGCATCTCCAGAAGAGGCAGGCTAGTAAAAAAATTGTCGAATGCCACTAGTGTGTAAGGTTGGACATTTCTGCATAATTCCATGACCACTCTGTATCCAAGACCTCCAGTATTATCATCGGTTGAAGTGGCTTTACCTGTGTAAATGTCAAATGAATATAGGTATCCTGTCTCTGAATCACAGCGGGCCCAAACTTTGTACCCACGTTTTATAGGTTTGTTCGGCATGTATTGTTTCATGCTACTTCGTCCTTTATATTTGACCATGCTTTCATCTATGCTTTGCGTAGATGATTGACTACAAATGCTTGAAAAATTATTGTTAAGTATTCCTAGCAAAGGTCTGATTTTTGACAATTTGTCATAATGTGGATCACTGTGTGCCAATTCAATGTTTGGATTGCTTACATGTAAGTTTTCAATGAGCTTTTTGTAACGTTTCAGTGTCATTGTTCTGCTGATTACTGGGTTATTATAAAAATCATCAGTCGACCAGTACAGTTCAACATCAGTCAATGGATGTAAGCCCATCATTATAATCACTCCAAGTAAAGCACACATTTCATCATTGTTGGTTTCTAGCCAGTATTTTGACTGATTTTTGATAGCATATAAATTGGTGTTTTCCACCAGAATATCAATTATGTCAGATGTAAACATGTGGTTAAAATAATCTACAGGCAAATGTCTGTTGTTGTAAGCAAATATAGATTTTGCTTTTGTTTGGAAGACTGGAAATGTTTCAATTTCAATAATAGATGACCAAGATCTCTGTTTTTGAGTCAGTTCAGTAAAGCCACCATCTCCTCCAATGAGTGAAACTGTCACCTTTACT